ACACGACGAAAGACAATGGCAACATGAGGGCTACTTATAGCAGACAAGAGGGTCACATGACAAGAACAAACCTATGGGAAACAAGACACATGACTAGGACAACCAATCAGAACATGACACATACACAAGGCAGAGAGAAATGAGGCAAGAGAAGCATGACACTAACAGCAGGACACAATTACAAAATAAAAGACATGGACATGAACATGAACATGAAACAAAAACAAAACCCAAACCCCACATTACAAATATATATTTAATTTACATAGTTAATAAAGAAACTTCATTCTAATGATCATTATATTAGCATTAGCCGCGCTTATGCTAATGATTAACTACTCTGATAACAGCGTTCATTTCAATCCGACATTCAAATTAAAATATTTAATAATATGCAGTGTTTCCCCCAGAACGTGCACTCTGTTTGTGGCGGCATATATATGCAAATTCATTCTCTGTCAGCAGGAGGCGCTTGTAGAGCACGAGAGATCAGGTTTCCCCGGTAACGCTGTACACAAAGCAGCGCTCAGCTCACAAACGCTGCTCAGGCATTACAGGCAAGATGAAATGAAAATGACATCCATAATTTTCTGAAGACAGTCATTTCCTTCAGACTATATATATATATATATATATATATATATATATATATAAATATACTGTATATGTATGTATATATATATACACACACACACACACTTAATTATATTACTGTCGGACTCTGTTCCGTGTTTTGTTCCCCACGTGCTCCATGTTATGTTTATGTCAACCTCCTCTGCTACGTGTGTTTTCCTGGTTCCCTTGATGTTATTAAAGTCTCCTTGTTGATGTACTCCACGTCTCCTCGTTCCTCGCTCCACTCTCCCTCACAGTAGCGTTCGTGACAGAATACCGGACCAGAACATAAAGTGAGTGGCGCCTCTTTTCCCCGAGTTTTTTTCCATTTTTGAAAGTCTTTTGTTTTCTTGTGTTTTCCCCCCGCGATTATGGAGATCGCTGCACGCTTCATCGCGCTAGCACGTAGAGATCTCCCCTTCGTCGAGTATGCCAGGGAGTTCTGTGGGT